AGAGAGTGAGAGAGAGAGAGATCCAAGCTGCTTTCCCATCCCTGCCAAAATGCCAGCGCAGTTGGTCGGCACCAGCAAGCAAAGGGTGAAGCTTTTAGGCAATGAGCAGCAGGTGATCTAAGCTTTTCTGTAAGTCCTAATGCTCCTAAAAGCCACTCTCCCTGCTTCTGTAATTGGGCATCAGTAGTTAATGTAGTATTGACTGCATTACATGCTCCTGTGCATCCTCTCCTACTAATGCCATTTGCATCACCTTGTACATTTACCATATTGCTTAGCCAATAGCTGTTAAAAGCAATCTGAATCATATGGATAACTTTTAGCAAGATGGACATCCAAAGGAGACAATTTACAGTTGAGTTAATCTGGGTACATTAGCGCAACATGGATTGAGCGAGACAGACCAATTTGTTTCTATGGCAATCCCTTTATTGGTTTTTAGATGGGTTAGTGAAAGGATGGTTGGCTCAAAGAGATATGAAATATCCATTTTCAAACATAAATATGGGTCTGAAATGCAAGCCATTACTTTAGAGGGGAAAGGGCCCCTGGCTAAAACTAAACTGTGTGTGTGTGTGTGTGTGTGTGTGTGTGATGACAATATTCTTTTAAAGATGACAAAGGCATTTTTAGGTCAGACACTTTGTAGGGATTTGCTTCTTTCAACTTCTTTCAACGCTGTTAAAGAAACATATCAAAAGTACAAAAACGGGATTCAGCTTCAGCAAAAACTTGTCAGCACCTCAAGCTCCAAAAGAAAAGTTTATAAACGGTTTCCATAGGAACCAGCGTGCAGCGTAAATACAAAGACGTGCATTGTACATATGCCTATAAAAACAGAAATATTTACAAACTAAATACACTGCTATCAAATAGGTGATCTAAATGTTCTCGTTTAGACCTATCAGTAAAGGTTAAGGTTCCAATGCTCTCGATGCTGATAAAACATATCCCCATAACTTCACAGATTTGCACGAGCGCTAACGGATACTGCGGTGAATAGCGACGTAGGTTCAGCTCTGACTACGTCTTTTAAACAGATAATAACATATTTCATACACGGGGACAGTCGGAGAAGTACACCGTATTCTGCATGTCTCTCCCGACTCGAAGTCTTTTAGAGTAGCGTACGCGCTTTCTTTCTCATGTAAACCTGACGAACGAACGTGTCCGTCTGATGTGACAAACGAACTGGAGCATGGAAGTGCCGTTTGGGGGGAAATGGACGCTAAATGCTGCATTTCCTCACTGTCCCGCGTTCTTCATAGTCGTAAGGAGCAAATGAATGCACGAACAATCATCCGTACACTTACCCTCTTCCTTGTCTAACACCATCGTCCTGAGGAGCGAGGAGTCCGGCTCCAGGCGATCCGCTCTCGGCTCCAGCACACTTCTGCGCGCGCCGCTCGCGTCTCTGAGAAGAAATTGCTTTGCAACAACAAAAATAATAATCGTCCGCGTTGCTGCCTCAAGGTTTAATTACACAGGCTCGTCTGTGTGGGTTTCCGCTGTTCAGAGACGGAAAGCCATGTAGAGAAACATACGTGTGTCTGTTATTCTATTGCTTAATGTTTTTCGGAGATTATACCCAGCGATGTCCCCTCAGTTGTATTCGCGTACGCAGCGCGTCAGTAATATCCACGCTTGCAATTAACGATGTCTAAAACTAAAGTGAGACGCCACGGTGCATTCCATCCGAAAATGAAACGACTACACTAACTCAAATCTAATTTAAACACCCGTTTAATTTGAGCTGCCGCGAAGAAGCTATTCTCGGAGTAGAAACGTGTTCCTCCCAGTTCTCATTTGCTCCGAAACTGTAACTATATTCAAGAAATCCAATTCTGAGGCTGACAACTAACAGCATGCTCACGCTGCCTTTCTCACCCAATTTATGCGCTCTGCGCGCTCCTGCTACTGAATAAATGCGCGCGCTTCCCAGAGAGCCACGGATCCCCCTGTTAATTAAATCAATTCATTATGCTCAGATCTGATTAGCAGCCCTTCCCCCCTCTTTGAATCAATTATTCAATACACAAACATAATTGCTTGTGCCAGAGGTGTCTAAGTATTAGCTTATTTAACTCCAAGGACACTAATTACCCCTAGGGCAAGGGAACTTTTCTCATTAATTCTGACAAAACACAAAATCACAGCTAAGGGAAAGTGTGTGTGTGTGTGTGAAGTGCTCACAGGGGGATGTGTGTGTACGTGTGTTCTTGTGTGATTGTGATGTGTGTTATACATAGAGAAAAGAGGGTTTGAGCTTTTAAAAGCATTTTTGAATAGTTTTCATGATCTAATTTCACATTCTTCATTCTCGCTGTTTATAATATTTCCACTAGATATGTGAGATGATCGGCTAGAAGACACACTTTCCATTTTCAGATAAACAGTCATTTTGAGAGCAACAACACAACAGATGGGCTGTTTTTTGATTAGCGGTGAGATAGGAGACTGCATGTGGCTCTGGTAATATAATTGTTAGCTGTTACTTCGCTGATAAAAGTGTTACTGTTTCATGGTGGGCAATTGGTGGGGTTCACCTGCCCTGCGGAGACGCTTAACCAATGAAGTCAGAGATCCACCCGAGATTAACCATTAGGCGAGATGCAGAGAGTACAAGTGCTCTGTTTGCTAGCAAGTAATCTGGCATACTAGTTTTTCCTTTACTTTTATTGCACATCCCTGACCCTGTCGAGGTAGAGATGAAAATGTGCCTTGTCTAATGTCTTTGAGATCTGGATCTCCTTGAAGGTGATGAATAGACCTACAGTAAATTATGAAATCGTAAATCATATCTGCTCATAAGACATTAGGGTGCAAATCTTCTATGCCCCCTAGATATTCATTAGTAGTTTAATTTAAACTATAGGCTGTAGCAACCTTAGCAGATTGGGACATTGCCCTGCCCCTAAAATCCATTGTTTGAGCCTTTGCTCTCTGCCTCTTCTGCCTGACATGTCTGACTTTTCATTTCTGCAGTGTGATAGATGGATGACTTTTGACCACAAATGTATGTCTGCTGACCTCTTGCAGAAGTGAGTGACACCTAATTAATCCAATCACAACAAACTGAGGGAACAAGGAAAGCGTGGCCCTTGTTGTTGAATGCTGAGCTACAAAAGGACTCCTGACAGTTAAATGGCGAAACAATACCATGGCCGATCTCGAAGTGTTTTAAAAAGAGAAGCCATATGCTAAGACACTTTTTTCACAAAAAGAGAAGGATTCATCTGATTATTAGGTATGAACACATTGTTTATATATTTTAAGGGTAATTTTTGACTGACCGATAAGCCAACATTACTAGAAAACATCAGGTTGTGATATTCCAGTTTGTTATGAAGCCTGCTAGGAATTACTTTCGCCAGTGCAGTGACATGTATCATGCTTCTCTTCTGTACTGATGGTTAGTGATGGAGCGATCCATTGTTTCTTTATTATTAGGAGGCCTAGAGTGCATCCCTGTTCTAAGGCATGCTGCATACGGGGTCACTTGCGACTGGAAACCATCCTGGAGTGTGGGCCTTGTGTGCAGAGTTAATTAAAATTAATTTCTGATTGGGAATTAAGCAGGCCCATCTATTTACTGCTAGGGCTCACGTACATCCAGTTCAGAAACACAGCACAGTAATTAACCCTACCTAATCAGATAGCATAGAGCCGAGTTGGGTTCCCATTTATCCTGGGGCAAACAATCAGTGGATGGTGGAGTCAGGGAGAGGTTGAACACGAGCCTCCCCTATATTTCATAATGGTTAAGCTGATTATAAACCAATATCAGACATGGTACTTTTCTCTAACTGCGTTCAATGGAAGGTCCTGCTAGGAGGAAAGGCTCCGAGAGGCCTGTTGTCATGATATCTGGATAAATGATGCACATGATAGATGGTGCTTGCTTACATTGTCTTAAATGAATTCAAATACCAGTTGAAAGTTGTCCTTCATTTGATGGGCAGTACTCAAGATGTTTTCTTTCATGTGTGAGACTGATGCTTAATCACAGATAATTATCTTAGAATTTTAATTGGTTTCCCAGGATGTTTTTTTTTTTTTTTTTGCTTTTTGAGCACATCCTCTGTGTTCTTTCATTGAGTTCAGTTCAGATCTTAATTTTGTACTGTATAATGGATGCAGTAAGATTTTAACATTAGAATGCAGTATTTTAATGTTCCACAGGACATATTAGGTTTAATCAGTGGACAATAGTTGTTTGTTTACCATTCTGACATCAGTTTATGTAGCCCCTCCTAGTGGCTGCATTATGCATGTTCACTTTTAAGTGAACCAGAAAGAGCTTTTTCAGCTCTCCTTCCTTAGGTTTAATCAGTGGACAATAGTTGTTTGTTTACCATTCTGACATCAGTTTATGTAGCCCCTCCTAGTGGCTGCATAATGCATGTTCACTTTTAAGTGAACCAGAAAGAGCTTTTTCAGCTCTCCTTCCTGTATGTAACAAGAACGTATTCCATATAATCCAAGAAACTGCCTATGACTTTAGAGAGCCTTACCACTTGAATATGCTCAACTGTTTGCACGAAACAGCAATTTGCAGTCCACCTACTCATTCCAAATGGGACTAGTCAAAAATAGCTTAGGTGTCATTTGGGGGCAAAGAATCCTCTCCCCAAACATTTAATCCAACTTTAATCCCAGTCATTAAGAATTAGACATGCAGAGCTGTCCGGTCGTGCCTCTAAATTACAATCAAATGGTTACCAATTACACAAATTATTGATGGTAGATTCTCTTTTCAACTGCAAATTAAGGCCATTAAGAAAGGTTCCTTTTTAATGCAAAAGTGACTAATTAACCAACGGATGGGAAATCTGCAGCCCAGATATCAAAAAAGTGCTCGGCGCACATTGCAGAAACACAAGGGAACCAATTAGTTTAATTATCAAAACAGCTAATTAAAATTGCACAGTTCCTAATTAGTTCTTTGCTTTTGCCTCTAATTGACAGTATGGAGATAAATGGGCTGCCGATGAAAACAGAGAGAGGCAGAGAGAGAGAAAAGGGGAGAGGAGAAAAACAGGAGAAACTTCTGCAGAATATTTATGCTGACTTTATATCCGTCTGTGTGGCAGCCCTTGAAAGTGGAAAATTAATGACCTTAATTCCCAAACTGTTTTCCCTCTAACAGCGCTCCCCTCTATGCTCCCGGTACACTCGCCTTTGTATGGGGTTTGCCACCCTGCCAACTACTGAAATGGGGGGAAAAGGAGGACTTGGGGGTGGGAAAGAGCCACCAATTCTCCTCCTAATGTGACAGCTCGCACCTAACAATAGAGCAAGATGAAAGAGTGGAGCAGATGTAACCACTGGGAGCGTAGCATCATGGGACTGCAACTTTGTCATACTTTTTTTAAAGGGCTTCTGCCATCTTTTCCGAGTGATAATTTGTCCCATAAAAAGAGAAGTCTGCTGGGACACAGATAAAAGACATTTGATGGAGGAAAATGTGCTTTTATTGAATGTTCAAATGCTAGATGAATAATTGCTCTCCTTTATTTTCAGATTAATTTTCCCATGGAGTGACCCATGTGAGCGGTGCGCCTGCATTGCTGTGTTTTATAGGAAAGGCTCCCTGTCGCTGGTAGCATCTCTTTAAAGGTAGTTAAAGCTAAAAAGCAATGATGGATCCCGCTACATTAAATAGTTTCCCGGGCAATCTTGAATGACAGCCATTTGATTTTGAAGACAGTGTTTTGAGTGAGCCAGACACACTAGTCCCATGCTCTAGTAATGCTCGGACCTGACTGGCTGTAATCCCGCCTATATGCCCTCACATGTCACTGTCGCAACAACCCCCTTCACATTAGGAGATAAGCAGCTACTAATCAGTTTACTCAGGGGCCTGTGTTAAAATGTAAATTACATTAATGCTCAAATTATGCATTATGGTAGTCAGTGATGCCTGGCCCATAGCCTGCATAATGTTCCCATCATTTGGATACAATCTTTTTAGGTTTGTTGTTAATGCACACTGATTTGCCCTGGTCTGGTCAGCATCAAGTGTGATACATCAGTCGGCTAGTGTGTGGGACATCATAAGAGAGTCGCCATTTCTGAATTAGCAAGAGAGGAGCTTTTTAGCGGAGCTGCTCTAAAAGGTTAGATAATAGCATCTTGGTTTCTTTTGCCTAGCACTCGCCCATGGAGAAAGACATTTCTGCTCTTTGCATTAATATTTTGGTGCTGGCGGTTGGAAAATTGCATAGGTATTAATTTACTTGTAGTCAAAGTGGATTGCCCAAAGAGCTTTTAGGAACAACATTCGAAATGTGATTTATCTGTCCTCTTCCAGGCCATTTCGAAATTGCACCCTGAAGAGACCCTCGTGTTGCAGAAGCTCTTTCTGCCCAGAGGAACCTGCTGCCCATGACTAACAAAGACGCACGTTCTTGGCTAATTGATTGTCTTCTGTTTTATTTATGGAAAGGCGGTAATTAGTGGCCAGCATAATGTACGCCCTTCATTAGCGCATGGGTACCACTATGGATTTTTCTGCTTTGTTTTAGATGCGCACACCATTGGGAGCAAACAAAAGATGAGAATTTATTAGCACAGGTTCTTGTAGATATCCCTGAAAAGTCGGTGTGCCTTTAAGGGAGAGCGCAAGGACTGTAAAACTTCTGTTGGCGCTTGCTCCGTGATTCCATTCGCGCGACAGAATACGTTAAGGAAAAAGCGGTATAAATTTAATTTGAATTGTTTTGTACACACGCCAGTGAAAAGGAACTGATTGGACACAGTTCACAGACAGTATATTAATGTTATTTTCATATGTTAATTGGTTTGCATAATCTTTCCCCGTGCCTGGTTTCAGAGTACCTGGCACCGAGAACGGGCCTAGAGAGAGAAAAAGGATGACTCCAATTTACATAAAATCAGACTCTCCGAACATTAAATAATAATGCGTCTGCAAGCCGAAGGTGTGTTCAGTTAGCAGAAAGCACATTTCTATAATTTATACGCCAGCTGTTTCGGTGCTTTCGAGTCCATTTGCCTCCCTGCCTGCATTTAATTAAATCTTGTTACTGGAGAATTGACTGGAGCTGAATTGAGATTTTAATCCCATTGACGTTGCGGCATGGAAATGCACACTGGTGGGAACTTTTAATGGAGGTTCTTGTAATCAGAAGACACTAGTATTCAGCTCCCTTACAATAATGAATCTCATGAAATGCTCCGGGCCGGGCCGTGTGCGAGGGCTCAAATTTCAAGGTTTTTGACCATCCCCATTTGAGACATTCCATGGGGAGAGTGTGATTACTCAAGTTTAGCAGTTTATTGCCTCATCTTTCAATAGCCACTGAAGCACAAAATTCTCATCTAGGTTACTCTTTTTTTTTCTTCCTTTACTTGAAGAGCGGGCCAATATAGACGGCAGAACAGCTGGTGACATCTAAGAGAAGCACCATGTGGATTGCTATTGTGATGAATGCTTTTGTTGTCCAAATTATATTCGCATTATCATCATCAGTCTGTGTGGACATATTCTACATAGTTATTATGCGGCCCTCCGAATTACTCAATTGATTAGTCATTTGCAGCATTCAGTGGTCAGATGTTCTTAACGCAAAGCTGTATATCAGATGAGTGTTCTGATATACAGCGTTGCAATTGATTACAGTGAATATTAGAATATATCTGCTGCAATTGACCAATGAGATTTCGGAGAGTGATGTAATAAATATGTATAATATCTGGTTAAATGGCACTACTTTCATGTCTTTCGTATTATTATGCAGACTCGCTCTCTGTTGTTTCATTCAGACACAATTTGTGCCATATTGCATACTGTAATATTGTTGCTTTGTTTGTCTTGTTGCTAGGTCAGTTGTTTTAAGGTTAATTCACACTGCATCAACAGATGCAAATCTTGCTCTAAATCTTGTGAATGTCGCTGTTGCTCGCCATAAGCTGGTGAATTAGCCTTTACATTGTAATGGACTAATTAACTATTTTTAAAGATATTTGATGAGTAGCCATGTAATATGCTGGATAATGAACTGTCATTATTGTAAAATAAACCCCTTCTGGGTGATACAAGACTCATTTATTTTGCAATAATGACCCGCTGATCGCATTCTCCCTTACACAGTGGCTTGCCTCAAATAATCACAAACACTGCATCTTTCAGCAGTGCATTGCATAGCTGTTCATTCCACCGTGATTCAATGGATATCACAGGAATATCACAGCAAGACATTTTGAGGGCAGTCCATCTGCCTTGCGTTGCTTTGTGAAGATGATGCAGGGACACCGGGGTTGTAGTAAAGGCCGGATTTGTCCATGTTCCTCCTGGAGGTCTACTGTAGATCAATCACGGTAGAGCTGCTCTCACTGGGACTCTCACTAACATCCACTGATTGCTTTCTGTGGTGGAGGCTGTTAAGTGGGAGCCGCATGATGGGCTCATGGACAACACTTAACGATCAATCAGCAAGGTCCAGACCTATTTCCAACTGCATACAGAGGCCGTCCTACACACCACACGCATTCAGCCTGAGCACCATCCAGGTGGTCAGAAGTGTTAAAGAATCACCAGGGAGAGAGCCCCTATCAGCGGTGGAGTGGAGAGTGAGGGAGGGCTGTAGTGGACAAGGACGTGGAGAATCCACGTTATTTGTATTCAGTTTGGTGAATGTTTGGTCATTATTTCTAATAGGGGAGATTTGAAAGTTGATATTTTGTTTTGAATGGTGTTTGAGAGCATGACCTTCAAAGAGTCAGTGTACATTTCGGCTGGCACTTGATGAGAAGAGCTTGTCTTTGGGATTGGCAGGCATTCTGTTGTTTCCCTACCAATTTAAATACACCAGACAAACAAAGCTCTGCAAAACAACAAAATACATTTACCCAAGCAGAAATACTTTATCCGTTGTTTGTGCAAGAGACTTTACCACCAAATGTAATAAACCATAACATCCCATGTCTTTAAGAACGTTGTTGCGTTGTGCAGTACTTCCACAATTGCTGAGAACAGTCAAATGCAATACAGTCCAATCTGTACCACAGGCCTTAATTTAAATGTAACTTAAGTGCCTCCACAGAGCAGATGAAGCTCTAATGGTGAGAGAGCTACTTGAAGTTTTCCCATTGATTAAGGATTCCATTGACTTAATGAACCTTGTGCCTTCTGTCAGACAAGCAGCCAATAAGTTCTAATCTCCCAAACAGATGTCAGGCACAGACTAGCTATAAATGAATTGATCTGCTCATCTTCCACAAATGGGAAAATGGCTAAGTATTGATATGACTCCCAGCATGGTGATGGATCAGGGATGGTGTTAAAACATGATCCATTGACCAGGAAGTGATCGCAGGCATCAGACACCAGTGTTAATCTCAATTTGCCTGAAGCTTTCGAAGGGATGTGAGATGAAGAGATGGCACGATTTGTTAAAATATATATATTTTTTCTTTTATAGCAAATATAGTTTTATTCCGTAGGGGATGTTACTCAGTGTGGGGAAGGGAGACATGTTTTGTATTCCCCTGATTGTAATCTGTTTTAGGAAGAGTGTCTGTTATATGATGAAACTTAATAAGCAGTATCAGCAAAAATATGTCAAACAGTTGCCAGAGAAGTAAAGAGTAATTCTTTTTTAACTTGAATTCTGTGTTGCTGAAGGAAAATCTTTGAGTCTGTCCTTTCAGGTATTTCTGTGCTCCGAAAGCAGCTGCATTTTCAAGTTTTAAGGACTATAGTTATTAGACTTGGCTTGCTTGGATTCCTATGAAATCTTGGGAAGATTTATACAGCCTCCTTCTGTATTTTCTCTCAGTCATTGCAAGAAGATCAAGTTTTGAATAAGAACAACTGCTTAATAGAAACTGAAACAATCTCTTCCCCCGCTAATCTTTCACGATTTGGTTGTCAGAAATGTTAATCTTTCCTGTGGCCTGCAATAATGAGCCTGCTTTATTGGTCAAAGGTCATAATCATTTGAGCTCTTTCTTTATAAACTCATTTCTGCAGACTGACATTGTGATAGAGGCACGAATAATAAATCATAAACGGGTCCTCCTAGAAGATTGCATTGTAAATGTCAAACCACACAGGAAATTGTAATTAAAGAAAGGAAATTGCCTCAAAGAGCCACGTGATTTTGAAACGAGCTAAGCATGGAATTTTGTAAGCATTTAATTATGGTTCAATTTGCCAAGACTGTTAGTTTTTCCCCCTCTTTGTTCATCTTTCTCTTTTGGACTTATTATTCTTTCCTCTTCTTCACAGTCACTCAGCGTGAGTTGCTGAAAAGAGGAAAAGGAAAGGAGCTTAATTCTCTATACTTTCGTACATAACCAGAGTGATTATTTCGTAAAATATTTTGTTCTGTCATTATCCAGTATTTGAAAACTAAAAAGAGCCCAGTTAGTTGCATACCTTCAATGTTTAGACAACTTTTTGCCATTTGCCTTGCTTTTAAAGCTCTTATCACATAAAGTTATCTGATATATACACAAATCATCTATTTTGATTGAAACACAGAATGAGAAGCAGCAATAAAATCAAACATATTTTTTCCCAGAGTGCCTTATTGTTGATGGTAATAAGGACAGCAGCAGGTAAACAATTTTTTGTACTGACAGTGATAT